CCCATCAATATATAACGTAATAATTCTGTCAATTAGAGGAAAGTGGCTTATGGACTGGACCAATAACGCATAAACCCATACGAGCAGTCTACAGTCCGTATCAGTCCTTCTTCCTGACTAGCTCTCTCTGTTGAGTTTAGAGCATCAACCTCAGCCTCTGCGATATAAATCATGTATTTCGAACATATTGGGTTTATATACAAACCAAATAGACCACATCGCACCATAAAACAGAAAAAACATCCGTACAAGATCTAGCCAAAAGTGGCTGTAAATGTGGAACACTGTAGTTCATAGGCTGGGCAGAACTCAAGAACAGTGAATCGTATGATAATAGTCTACGGGTCAAGATAAAGCTTATAATGAGAGAAACATGAATATGCATAGTTCAGGTACTTAAAAATTATACAATAAAAATATTTGTATTGTATTGTTCCATAAATAGTTCTCAAAAGTGACCATTCATTATTTCCGTCAGGATATAACAGGATCTAAACCCATATCGGGATATAATAGTTAGTATGATCAATCTGTATAAGAAGATAATCAATTAATCTAAAATGAATTTCAAAGTAACTATATAAATTAAATGAAATTTTCCGGAAATTTTTCACGTCTCAATATTATGATTAAACTATACAATTTTTTTCCAAGGAAACAAATAAAAATTTGAATTCATCGCCTATTCTGTTTAGATCTTACTTAATGAAAAGAAACAATAAAAAATTGTAACGCTACACAGTTAAATCATCCAATGTTTAATGTCATATGATCAAATTTAGTAACTAAATAAGATAGAAATACAATTCGTTTACGTCATAAACCGACTTGAATGGATTATATTATTTGATATTTACGTAAAAATGGTGTATTAGTTGGAAAAATGTTTGTAATTCTTACACAGAAATGAATTTCACAAAAGTAAATTCATATGGTGATAATGACAATAATGATAGTCACATTCAACTTATCAATAAAAAGAACTATAATATTTAATTTATACAAAATCCTATACACTTAAACATTGGAAATAAGTGACAGCTTTTTTAAAAACAAAAAAAACACTAAACAGATAGGTCAGTGAATTTGAATATTAAGGTCCTCAATCCCGTTACTCACATGGCTGTGGATGTGTACTCATGAGGAGTCATATACTAGGATGAAACAAATGTTAAATAATTATCAGTATAGTGTTGTGGAGATTATTAGATTCTTGATTGAGATCATGAGCTGATTGGTGTTTGACCGTTGGATGCCGACTCAGTGGTCTAGAGGTTAAACGTTCGCGTGCGAGACTGAGGGACCTGGGTTCGAAACTCGCAAGCGGGATCGTAGATGAGCACTGCTGAGGAGTACCTCAATAGGACGAAACGGTCGTTTATTGCTTCGAGGTTTTCAGTGGTGATCTAACATTAACCGGCTCATGATCTCAATCAGAAATGTTTAATAATCCTTGCTTTTTATTACTTTTTTTTGCTACAATCACTTCGTGATGTGAATTATGAACTAATCAATTTCCAAAAGCCTTCTATGTTAACGGTCCTTGTATACTCATAAATGATTAGTTTTGATAGTTCTTGAAGTTCTGGTGAGAAGCTATGGTTAATGGAAATTTAACCAACTAACAAGAGAATTCTCAACTATCAAAATAATGTCCTTTTTTACATCTCTGTAGTTAAGTATGAACTTTAAAAAAACGCCAAGTAATCAAATTAACATTTGTTAACTAACATGCTTTTGTAAAGAGTCAATTTGTTCTCAAAACCCGATATAAATTAGTAAACTATGTGGGAAATAACAACAAAATGATTGTTTGGTTAGTACCTTCCCTTACTAAATTTACTTGAACAGATAATATTTCATTATTGAGTAGACGGAATATACCTTTTGAAATAGGAAAGATTGGTTTCATGAAGAGTTCTCATTTTTGGCGAATTCATTGCCAAAGCTGTACAATCGTAAATATGTATATTTATTTTTTAAGATGATAATAATTACAATAATAGTGATAATAAAATTCTGCTAAACATGATAACAATGAGCCATCCTTGCCCAATTATAATTTCCCTATTTATCTTGACAATGAATATTCAAGCCCTTAACAATAAAACTATTATTAGTTTCCCTGGTAAAAAGAAATAATTTGTTTAATACCTTTGTTTACTCTACGTCACTGTTACCATGTTTAACAGAATTTTATTATCACTATTATTGTAATTATTATCATCCTGAAAATATAAATATGTATATTTGCGATTGTACAGTTTTGAAAATGAATTCACTGGAAAAAGAGAACTTTTCGTTCAACCAATTTTTCTTATTTTAATATTTCCGTTTGAACTTACAAATCTTCATATCACTAAAGAGTTTGAAAATGAAGCAACACAACTGTCTTGTTTCTCCATTGACTTTATTAATTCTCCAACTAACATCAATCCATTATGAAAAGTAACTTCAAAATAGATAACCTATACAAACTCTTTTTATTCTTAATTTTCAATAACAAATAATTGAATTCAATTATAATAAATTAATGGTTATCTAATTAGGACCATTGCGTGGTCTGATATGTGAAAACCATTTTGTTATTCAGTATATAATCGATTAAATACACGTTTCATGGTGTTATTTTTTTAACTAATAGTTTCCAACAAACGAACACATATCTGTATGGGGTTTTGGAGATTGAGATCATAAAATCGACCAATGTTAGACCACGATTGAAAATCTTAAAACACAGGACGACCTTTTTGTCCTAGTATGGGACTCCTCAGAAGTGTGCACCCACGATCTACCACGCGGGATTCGGACCTAGGTCCTTCGGCTTCGAGCGCCAACGCCTAACCTCTAGAATACTGAGCTATATCCAACGGTAAAGACAGGTATCCACCCCAGACAATGGAAGATGTTCGCTCAATATCGTGAATTGGCTGCAGTTAGACATTAACGCTGTCGAAAGCCCACTCAATGGTCTTGAGGTTAAGCGTTCGAACGTGAAATCGAAGGTCCCATGAGCGGGATCGTGGATGCGAGCTGCTGAGGAGTTCCATACTAGGACGAAACGGCCGTCCTGTGTTTTCAGATTTTCAATAGTGATCTTACGCTTACCTATTCATGATCTCAATCAAAAACAAACCCATACTTAGGCAATTACTTATTTGAAAACACTGAGCCTTTAGCCATTTAATTACAAGTTCATCTTACGTGACGAATACAGCTGACAGAATGATAAACGTATGTAATAATCAGCTATTGTAACAAACTTAATTCCCTTTTTCCACAAACATAAAACATGTATCATATCGGAGTAAAAAGATATTATGTACATTTCTATTTTGAGTAACGAGGTGATCATTACTTAATTCATTAATAAAAAGCAAAACTGTAATTAGATACAGTCTGTTTATTCCTTAATAGTTCATTGTTCAATGAATGATGTATTCATATTTAACTGGAGTTTAAACATACTAACCAATAAATCTCAGTTCAATGTATAAGTAGTAACATAGTTAACAATAGACGTGCATGTTTTAGGTCAGATGTCTTACTAAACTTTGTCAATAACACTGTTGAAATTATAGAAAAACTTATAAAATCGATAGAAAATTCTCATCATAATAAGACACAGTCATATGAACGAAGAATATTCTTTTCAATAAATTCCCATAATTTTCTACAATTATATATTCAAATTAATAATACAAATATTATCCAGATTTAAGGTAAAATACATCGTTTAAAAATTGTAGCATGTGAATTCACGATTGTAAGATGAAACGAAACCGTTAGTGTTGGGATGACTAATATGAAGGGTTAATTTGTATCAGTTTCTATGTGATGTGAAATTGTGAGATCAATGAACAAAGGTATAGTTAAAACTTTTAACAGAACGAGATTATACATAATATCTAAAGCCTTCCTAATAGGAACATTAGTGAACATAAAGCAACCATCAAATTTTGCCATTAATTTATCTGTTTCTATGCTATTAGAAGTAATCATTTCTTTGAATTTACTAGAACTTTTTTTATTCCGTATTTGATCTTGGCTATTCATCTAGAAAGATTGTAGGTTGGTGAATTTGTATAACCAAACACTGGTCTTAGTGGGACATATGTTTTATGGATTTTTGAAGGCCCATAAACTTTAGAAAGGCTGCTGCTTTTTGGATATAGAAAAAACCGTAGAGATGGTCCTACATAGCGACTTGAACATGAGAGAAAAGGCGTGAAATATGGAAGGAACGCTTTACTCCAAGGTTATTTTATGTACAGAAAATCTAGGGTATTTATACCACTTTAGGTGGCCTTGGGCTTTTGAAAAATTCCGGAACATAGTAGCAGGATAAGTAGTCATCCAATTACAAATGTTGGATTTACTTCAAATTCATTCACTAAGATTTAACAAATACATTCTTCTTTCCTAATGTCTTACATCAACTTGGCGCCTAAATACTGTGAAACTATTCAATCAAATTTAGACGAAAAGTTTTATAAAATATAATTTTATATCAAAATAGTTTTAATGGTATTTCTTTAGTTAATATTGAAAATATTGGTGATCGGTGACCAATATTCCTAAGTCGACTAATAATCTGAAAACTTGTCCATAGAATATTCTAATTAAATTTTAAACAAACATAATAATTAATGACAAAATTTTTGTTATTAAAAAGCTTTAGTTGTTGTTCAAAATAACATCACTAATATCTTATCTTGTTCAGTTGACTGTTACTCGAACAAGACAGTCAACTGGACTCTAAGGACAATCTTAGCTAATGAAATTTACTAGAATAACCAGCCACAAAATGATCATCAGGATATACTGATCTAATGCTTATGAAATTAATGAATATATGAAGTAGATATTTATAATATCCAGAACGTTAGTGAAATCTTCGTAATCAGAGCTACAAATCCTCTTCATCATCTTAGAATAATTATAACCATACATGGTTAATATTCTTATAGTATAATATGAACAATTATCATATAACTTACAGTTTCTATAAGCCGATCTATGGCTGTTATACGGTGCTGTAATTCTTCAAATGATATAGTCAGTTCTGCTTCTCTCATTCGTGCTTCACCTAATTCCGTTTGTAATGTTAAAATTTCATTGGATGGATCTACTGCTGCTTCTCGTTTTTCCTGAAAAAATAAGAATAAACTAGAATTAAAATTAGAGCAAATCAGCCATTCGCTTTATAAGTTTCATAAAACAAACATTTATCAGTAATTGTATAGACTACTTGATACTCACTTAGAAAGTACAATGTTTTACAACAACGTAAAAATGAGTTAATCAATTATTCCTTAATTTAGAATATAGTATGTAATGAATATAATTTAGGTATTTAGTCGAACAATACGTTGTAATTTTATTAATATTGAAGGATGATCGCAAGACAAACCTACTTTGGGAAATTCTGTCATTGAGCTATTGATGTCAAATCAATAAGATCTAATTTACCTTGAATGTCTGAAGACATATGAAATAAAGCAGAGTGAAATATTTTATTTGACTGGATCAATAAGATGCTTCATCTTTTATTCGGGCGTGACTATAACTTATGGACGAACCAATCAGGTATAAGATTATAGGTCTCAGCTTTTGACGCGAAATTCACTCATCCATTTGGCTAACTAGAGTTTTGGCATTATAACTGATGTCATTCCGTGGTGAAAACGCTAAATCTAACTCCTAACCCTAACCATCAACAGTAAATCATAATTCCAATTCTTTATACTGGTTTATAACCTTCATTTGGTCCTAGTTATTAAGTGGACACTCTCAAGGTCACTTTAGCATCGCTCAAAGGTTGTTCATAAATTATAGTCTCACCCTTTCAAGCTAAAGACTGTGAATTCTGATATTTAGATGGTAGTTGGAGGTAGTCAACAGGAAACCCTGGACCCGGGTTTCGTGCTACTTGGCACTCGTCAGCAAGGTGTACCTGTAATCTTGAGGGAACCGGTGCTCCCTGGCGGATTCGATCTCGTGTCACACAGCTTCACAGTCAGAGACGTTACCACTGAGCTATCCGAGCCGTGACTAACCTCCTGTAGGACTGAGATGTATTTACAACTGATTGATCACTGGGTGGTGGTCAATGTCATGATTATCATGATGATCAATGCTGACGAGTGCAGTTAAATAAATGTACAATAGCTTAACAATTGATCATTTCTATCCTCCCCTTATATATATATATATATATATATATATATATATATATATATATATATATATATATATATATATATATATAATGTGTAATCCCTAAACCATGACAAATGGATGATTATCTTATCATTGGTGTTAATCGATCTGATAACAATGTGGTCACTAATCCAGCAATTTGGTATCAGTGATTAGAGATACTCGAAAAGTGGGTTTGAACATCGTTTTTGTCCTAGTTATCCTTCATCAGCAAGGTGGATTTACGATTAAGAGAGAACTGTTTCCACTTGTGAGATTTAGGCACAAGTCAATTTGTGTTACAGTTAGAGGCGCTACATTTGAAATATTTATACTGAAACTGAATGATACATATTTGAGCCTCTACAAGAAATGTCAATTTTCTCAACATTTTAAACACACTTTACTAATGAGTATTAGATAGCATGAAATTTATTTATATAATGATTCTTTTAGTAGTACCCCACTATTTGTTCTACTTCTAATATTATTAAACTTTATCTTGAAAATTTAACAAAAGGTCTAATATCATCTATTGGTTAAACTGTACATTTATGAATAGCACATTTTTTATCAACATTTTTATATCTTAACCATCCCTTTCTTCCCCTATGCAATGCATTTTAATTAATCAACAAATTATCATTGAATATATCACTTTCGAAATGTAAATTACAAACGAATGTGATAAATTTTTTTCTTCTTCAAATTCAAGATAACATATTTGTACATATTTGCACATTATACCTTATTACTTGTAATCTTTAACCCATAGATACACATATTTAAAATGATTTTACTTTAGAAGATTTCAAATAAAGATAACATTACCATGGAAATTTATGATTCTTGAAATGATTTTTTTTCAAATTTATCTAGAACATTATCATATATGTTTAACTGATAAATTAGTTTCTATGACGAAACGGTATAGATTATTGATTAATTTTATGGTTTATAAATGGTAGTTATGTTATAACTTGTGACCTGTGTGCCCTGCTAATGTATGACGTAATGATACCACCAATTAGAGAGCAATGAATTATCGATCGGACCAATGACGAGCAGTCTAGAGTACTTATCGTTCTTGTTGCCTGACTTAGACCAACCAGTTAAGTTCAGAACACCAATCTCAGCCTCTGCAATATGAATCATTTATTTCAAACATACCAACCAAACAGACCACATCGTATCATAAATATAGGAAACAATAATTGCACAGGATTTAGCCAAAAGTGACTGTGATTGTGAGAGGTAGTAATTAATAGATAGGGCATAATTCAAGAATGGTAAAGCGTATAGTAATAGTTCATAGGTTAAAATAAAGCTCATAATAAGAGGGACACGAATGTGAACAGTTTAGTTATTTGACAATTATACCATAAAAATGTACGCATAGTATTGGTTCACAAATGGATCTCAAAAGTTACCATTCATTATTCTTATCAGGACATAACAAGTTATGAATTATTTTGTGTGTTTCATCTATGAAAACAATTTTTCATTGATATATAATTAATTACTTAATTAATTAATGAGACATGAAAATATAATTTAATGGTGAAAGTATGTTTTATTTTGATCCATTTATGGTGTTATAGGTATAATTCTTATTCTTAATTAGATAGAAACCTGTTTCTTTCACATTAAGATATATGGATGTGTCATTCCAAAACGAAAAATGAATAAATGAAAAGAAAGAGGTAGAAAAGGAAAATTAATTACACTCAAATGTCAATTATTTGCTATTCAATCTCTGACCATTAAAAATGTAAAAATATAGAGGAATCAAATTTAAGATGTTTAGATTATTACTATTAATAATAATTACTAGATTGTAAACAATAATTAGGTATATTCCTTTCTTCATACACAAAATTATTGATTAAGTGAATTCCCCAAATAAATGTAATTCAGATCAGGTATTAACGCTGTTGGATGCCAGCTCAGTGGTCTAGAGGTTAAGCGTTCGCACTCGAGGCCGAGGGACCTGGGTTCGAACCTCGCGAGCGGGATCGTAGGTGTGCACTCCTGAGGAGTCCTACAATAGGACTAAACGGCCGTACAGTGCTTCCAGATTTTCAGTGGTGGTCTAACATCAATCGGTTCATGATCTCAATCAAAAACTTGATAGCCCCCACAACCCCATACTGATAAATGTGGACAGTTTTCTAAAGCCAGTTCTTTATGTATTTCCCAGTATAACTATTCCTGTAGAGCCATATACTTTAGATGTACTTCTGTTGGGGACTTTCAACTCGTAAAAGACAGACAAAAATAATAACAAACAGAAATCTTCTCTATCTAGTCAAAAGTAGACACTGAAATTACAATTATTTGGCTTCTAAAGTTATCCACTGAATCCTATTCGGCTTGTAATTTACTTCACGACTTCTCCTCTGATATACATATGGACGATCTAAGGAATTTATAAATGTAACCTTTGTGTCTATAAGAATTATATTTGGCCACTTTCTTTACCATGGCCATTATTTTTATCAAATGATTTACTCAAAAACTGTAGCGTCTATACAAATGATATATTGCATTTTAGCTTGCTTAACTATTGTTAATTATAAACACTGGTTAATTCATGCATTGTCGTACTACAAACTATTTATGCCCAACATGGCAACTTTTTTCAAGCTATTCAACATATAACTAATTGTCAGTATAGAGTTGTGGACATCGTCGAGTTTCATTGAAATCATGAACTAATCAATGTTAGGCCATCATTTAAAACCTGAAAGCACTGAACGGCAGTTTTGTCCTTGTATGAAACTCCTCAGTAGTGAGCATCCACGATCCCGCACGTGGGACTTAAACTCGGGACCTTCGGACACGCGTGAACTTTTGATTTGTAGACCACTGAGTATGCAGGTTTAAAGTCAACAAAAACCAATCAACATTGAGGTCTACAGGACAATTTGTGAACCACATGTGCAGAAATTCAAACACTTCACTTCTACCTGAAGTTTGCTCTGATAATGTCGTTCAGAAGAACAATGAAAGCTCCACGACCAAACCATCCAGCTCAGAGAGCAATACTCCATCAAAATCATCCACCTGAGCTACAAATTTTCTCCATCATCTCAGTTAATTACTTACATAGTTCAGTGATCTATGCAAAGGTATCTATCAAACTAATCACTATGAATTTTAAATGATCAATTTTTGTTAAAAATACGCGTAACATTTAGCAGGATTGCTAAATGCTTAGAAATATCAGTACAAACTGAAAAGAGTTGATTTTATCATTAAAATTCATACTAACAATGCTAGTAATTAGCAGAATTTAAAAAGTTTATGCTTTACAGCTCGACAGTAAACACTGAAGTCCTTACTTATAAAAAGATTACAAGAAACTTCAATGTATGATGAGAAATTAATAACTAAATTCAAAAAACGAGACATATTGTTTATCATTATCAATATTATTAGTCTGTTCACAATACTATTTGATACAGATTTAAAGAACGAACAGAATATAATATACTACTTACTGATGACAAGTAGTATTAACAAAAGTTATTCGTACTTTCAAACAAAGTAGTTAACATTAGCTCATTAACAGATTTTTGTGAGTTGGACAAATCAATGAACCTTACATACACTCACTCTATTTCTTAACAGACTTTAAATAAACTATTCTCTTGGGTAAATGAATAGACATTCTGTTATTTCAACTGAAAAATTAAACTTTGCAAACGTTTCACAGTGTAATCCTAAGAGTTGAGATTGAAAAAAATATTTGAAGTTATTTATAAATATGTACTTCTTCTACCTTCATGTTATGGTGAAAAACAGTTTCATACCAATCACTGTCAAACGATAAACATGAAATACATTTTGAAGTACACTTAACAACCTTCAGATTCAATCTTCAATTTTGATAGAAACACACGATAGACTACGGCAGAAATCATGTCATCATTTCATAACATTGCTAATACCTTAAGTTATTATCCGAATTCAAAGACAAATCAATCTAAAATGTATCGAGTAATGAATATGTAGAATTAAAAGAACAAGTTAAAAGAGTCAATAGCTCAAGATCACAAATTTAAGGTATTTATGGTTTCTAAGTATCGATCTGATGCTCTTTAAAAGTTAGAATTAATATGAATGGGGAATATATGAAACCTCGGTAGTTATCATTTGAGTGAATCAATCTATTCTATTTATTTACTAAACAACTGTTTAATTGAATTTTTGTGCAGCCTTAGTTGTATGCTATACTTTTCCATGTATTGCTATGACTCCATCTGATGAGCCTTTTAGACTAGGGCAGAATAAAGAAGAAGAGTTAGGAGGTGAAGTCAACAACCTTGCCTCACAAAAAATATCTCACTAATCAGAAATTATTGTCATAACTTTTACACATGAAAAAATACATGATTAATTACTAATTGATTATTTAGTTTTTATAGTAAAAATGCACTAATTAGGTACCTATTGAGATTTATAGATAGAAATGCTGTCTAGTCTTGTATTTCACATTGGTAATTATGTGAGTTATATATCTGAATAAATGCTTAAAACCAAGTGTTTGTGACTGCTTATTTGATTTTGTGCTGATGTATTAAAAAGTTTAGAAAGTGAACAATAGTTTGTATTGTAATCGGAAGAAGGAGATTATCATGACTACGTGATATATTAGTGTAATACATTTTGAACAATCTGATCATATATATACTTGTTAAGAACATTCTTGTATAAAAACAAAAAGGTCAACTACATAAATGTAGGTACGAAACAAAAATAATAAAGAAATTAATGTGAAGAACAATGTGAAATTCACCACTCAGGATAATAAACTATTATTACCAGGGTAGGTTTCAGACGAGAACAATTTATTATCCAGCGCAGTGAATTTCACATTGTTTTCATATTATTTTCTATATTATCTTTGTCTCCACTTACTTACATTTGTCTAGTTGACCTTTTTGCTTTTATACAGAAATGTTCTTAACAAGTATATGCGTGATTAGATTGTTTGAAATGTATTGCGCGAATATATCATATAGTTCTGATCATCTCCATCTTCATATTCTTTGTCTACTTATTACAATACCAAAGTTTATACTGTGTCGAGTAAAAGATTTCTTTAAGAAACAATGTACAATCAAACCCGATTGATTTTTAGACCATAATAGTAATTCATTTGATGAAACATGGTTAACTTATTAAATGGCAGGGTAGTTGGTCAATTATTATCAGGTTTTGTAAAAGAAAAATATTCTCTTTGATAAGTTCTTATCAAGTTCAACAATTTTTGGTTTGAATTAATAACCAAGGAATATAAACCAATTTGAAGGCAAATGCTTAGGTAATAATATCAATAGTTCTATATCAGAGCATCCAGTTCAGATGGATCCTCAAGCTGACACTAATCAATCATTCCCAATAATTCATCATAGACGGTTGCAATCCAAATCTTTTAAACTATGGAAACGATTTACAGGAAGGATAAAAAACCAGAGTAGTGCATTTAGAAGAACCAGGTTCTGATTCGTTTCCTATCTGAGAATAATTAATCAGTATTTCTCTTGACAATAGAGTCGAATAGGTACACCTCCTGTACCTATACTCTACCCTTCAATATTTTTTGTTTAAAATAAATTTATCTGATTTAATTGGTGTGAATGATTTTGTAAACATCCGTCGTTGATCCTGAACCTATTAGTTTTGATAAATAATACTAATTAAAGACGCTCGGTCATGTATCATGGCCATATCACAGAACAGACTAACGTGAGATGCTTCACCTCCTCTAGACGTTCAGCCTAGTAGTCACACGTTTCTCAGTCTTTCCTCATCATCAGACATTCAGTTCCTACCAACCATCATATCCTTCTTCTTTATTTATCTTTGGGGTATTACCTTCTGTAAGGTATCTAGTGTATTATTTAATTATATTGTTGTCAAGATTATCTTCACAAACATTATGTAGCAAAGTATTTGAGTTATTTATTATTTCTGTTACGCTAAATTATCTGTATTCATTTTAATAATAATTCTTATGTAAATATTCCAACATTTACAAACAATCTTTAATTCATCAATTCGATAGTTAAAGCTGGATTTGCTAGAAAATTTCTTTTGTCTTTTTTTATTAATTTGGAACCTGATGATAATTTATGGAAATAGAATATTTTTTCACTATAGGGTTGGAAAGATTGTTACGTTTTTGACTGAAATCATGCATCAATCGGTGTTAGACCACCGTTGAAAAACCTGGAAGCATTGGATGGCCATTTCATTTTAGTACGGGATTACTCATCAGTGCGCATGCACGATCCCGCACACGGCATATGGACCTAGGACTTTCGATGTCGAGCGCAAATGCTTAACCTCTAGATGACTTAGCCAGCATCTAGGTTTCAAGGGTGATCGAACATCGATCGATTCATGATCTCAATCAGAGGATATTTTTCGTTCTAATGTCTTTATCTTGATGAAATGTGAACTTTTAAACAGTTGGTAGCTAATTGCTTTATGACAGGAAATCACAATTATCAAATACCACTTTCAATCTAAGTTCTCAGTGGCAAACAAAAAATAAACTGAATTCGTTTATATGTATACACGTATATATTACTTACGCGTTCAATAAATGCTATCTTTTGTCGATAATCGTCAATTCGTGACACAAGCTTTTCATTTTCCTCTAATAATTTTGATATTTGTGATCGTAGTAAATCAATTAAATCCTGATTCATTGCTTCACGTAACGGATAATGAAAACAATCGATATCAAAATTGTTATTACTACTGGGAGTATTATTGGTAATTGAAGTAGCAATAGTATTATTATTATTATCATTACTAAGATTAGTTGAAATAACTCCAATTTGACCTATATTACCACTGGTACAACTAGTAAAACCACTACCGACACCATCATTATCAATCGATTTCAATATTTGAATTTTTGTTTCATTAGAAGAAGATGCATTGGAATCCTCCATATTGTAATATGGATTGATTGCGAGATATTTATTAGGTGTATGCCGATTTGAATTATTTGCTTTATTACTATTATTATTATTAAAATGTTCTGGTGACCATCTATTATGACTTGGATTATATTCAGATGATAAATTATCAAATTTTGAATGATTTGTCATTCTATTAATAGCACTGCTACTATTATTATTATTTTGACTATGTCCTGTCAATTCAATTGAAGATGTTGAAGGTGATAAAATTGAAATTGAATGTTTTCTAGATGGATTATTGCTTTTTGCATTCCTGTTGTCTTCACTTTCAAAAATCATCAGTTATTTATGTTTTTGTTTAATTGTAGCCTATTTTATTATTTATTGTGAAAAAAAAGAAACAAAGATAAGTTATAATTGATAATGATGATGAGAAGTGTGAATAATGTTAAATATAGTTACATAGTATGATAACAATCTAAAAATAACTTTATAACAACTTACAGTTTATCGATTAGCAACGAAACATATAACTTGGAAATGAAGAGACTTCTAAGTTTTGTATGTATTGATATGATGATTAAACTTTTTTAACGTTTCTAATAGGCTCCTCGGTGTTCAGCAGAGGAGAGCCTTCTGATGACTGTAGATTATTTCTAAATAAATAAACAGTGCTCAAACGTAACTGGTATACACAGATGTTGAAGAGTCAACATGCTATATGTGAAGATACATACATACACATCAAACAATCATTTTTATACAGTGAAATCTAATTTAGTCCAGAGGCTGATATGAACCGAAGAGTCAGTTAGATATAAGTTTTCACTTTATTCTAATATAAGAATACAGAGATTCAGGGATCGGAAATAGAACAATCTGATTGCGATGAGAGTTTGTAATGCTTAAGTTACTAAGTTCAAATCTAATATTGCATATATTTAACTTAAGTAAATTCCCATAGTAACACGATAATTATCTCATGCTTATGGGTAGTCTTATGTTTAAAAACTTTTATTTGATGACATGACGACATTTCATTAAAAGAGGTGTTTCAACCCTAGTTTGATAGGATGGGAGAACCCAAATATATCATGCATATGTGGACGTGTATTATTTCAGGGTCGAAATGTCTGTGAGAAAGATGAAAAAGCACATGTTACTCACTGAAACCGTTCGTGTAGTTCATCAAGGCTTGATTCAAATATCTGAGGGATATATATATCAATGAATTGTGTATATAATAGGTTCAGTTTGCCAATGCAGTGTCCCAGTTGTTCTTAGCCTTCTCATTCAAGTACTACGTCGAACTCAAACATATATATCAAATCTAAGTAGGACAACCATACGATCTGACCAAGATTTTAAGATCTGAAATAGTTTGCTTATTAATATACGTGTTCATTAGATAGTTACTAGATCCTTATTTGTTAAATTCTTGTATCATTCCGTTCATAAGGTGTCATTTTCTCTCTCTTTCAGGCAACAATCCATTTCTCAACAATTCCATGAAGCTTATTGACTTCACAAAGCATCCTCTTTATAAAATTAATGAATATGAGATAAATGGTCAACGTTTTATTTGGAATTCTATCCCTGTACTGAATATGATTTCATTAGGAGTGAGATTTAGTTTCAACAGTTTTACCTTTGGAATCAATATCTAGTTATTGTAAGGTCCAGATCTATAAAATATCCTCATTTCTGGCTAGCAAATACTCCATAAAAAATTATTTTATCGGAGATCTGCAAGGACATATACAATATAGTGTAGCCCAACAAACAAAATATAAACACAAATATAGAAAACTACACTCAGATACATAGCATTAACCTACTAAATGAATAGAAAAATCATCAAAAGCACTGGATACAACATACTAAGTGGACGTTGTAGGCAACCTTAGCTATTTTTTTAGACATTATTTAAATACTATCACTATACGATAAACTTTGTGAATAATCACTTAATTTATATACACATTCGTTAGCATAAATATAGTTCATTCAATAGTTGAGATCATGAGTTAATTGAAGCTAGACCACTATGGGAAACCTGGAAGCACTGGAAGGCTGTTTCGTCCCATTGTGGGACTCCTCAGCAGTGCGCATCCACGATCCCGCCCTCCGCGAGATTCGAACCCAGAAGCTATCAGTCTCGCGCCAGGCGCTTAACCAACTAGACCGCTGAGTTGGCATCCAACGGTGTTAATGTCTAACTTCAACCAATCCACTAAGTTGCGCCACCGTACACCATTGTCTTCAGTGAGTTGATATCTCACAACAAACCTGGTTGAACTCCACTGGTAACGGCTTCTCACTAGAACTCCAGGAGTATCTCTTGAAGTCAGTCACTAGTGGAGATCTCCACAAAACCCCTTCCGATAATTCTTGAATTGTAAAAAAAACCAAAGAAGTAGACCTGATAACCTGTGAATTTCAAACATCGATTTAAAATAATTTTCTTAAGTTACACAAATTGAAATAAATTGTCTTGAAGATGTAACAAGATCTTGGTAAATAATTTTAATCATGTGTAGTATAAATATAATCAAATGACCTTAATAATAATAATAAATTATTTACATAATCTGTACACTAGTATTTACAGTTGTATGATAAATATTATATCATTACGTAACCTCATTTGATAAGTGGATTATTGAATCACTTCATTATGTAATCGTTTCTATCCTTCAATCGAAATATATTTACCATACAATTATAAATACGAATGTAAAACTTAAGTAAATAACCTGGAAGCAACCTGGAACCGAATTAAGAATATTATTAAAAAGTTATGTAAAACGAAAATGTTTTCTTTTTGAAAGCATATTGTATGTTTTGTTTAGTTGTTATACTGAATTCTGATTATTAAAATTACTTATCTACTTGACGACTGGTTGTTTGTGATATTTTTCCAGTATTCAAATTCAAATCAAGCGTTCTTATGTCAAGTAGTATAAAGTGGATGTTCTACAAAATGAACGCATATCGGTAGAGCCCAAAATTACAAGGGTGGTTTAATAATGTAACAAAATGATACTACTAATATATGTACTGTCATATAATAAATAATGAATCGGAGTCATTAAGTCTATATAATAAGGTAATGTATATATTATATACATGTTAATCAGATTTTTATAACACGTTTTAATGTCTAAATTTGCAAATTCGAACGGTGTACGATACCATTTATATAGTTTACATAAAGCTTTGAATGTAGCTCATTGCTTTGACAGATATATGTAGTATCATTTTGAACTTTACACAAGTAAATCATTGTAAACTGCATGCATATATGACTATATACGACTATACAGTTTATGAGTTATTAACACAGTCTTCCTGGAAATGTTCAACAAGCTAAATTAAACTGTCAGACCCATAAAAAAAGGAGTCTGATATTTTGTAGAGTTTGTTATGATTATTAAGATCATTAAAATAACTCATTGTCATTGAATAAAAATAAAGAGAATTCAGGGAAGAAAAATTATTTTTTTTTTGATGAAATTATTTACTTAATTATCAGTATAGTGGTCATGGAGATTGTTAAGTTTTTGATTGAGATCATGAACCGATTGATGTTAGACCACCATTGAAAACCTGGAAGCAGTGGACGGCCGTTTCGTCCTATTGTGGGACTCCTCAGCAGTGTGCATCCACGATCCCCCACTGCTCACGTACACATAAGGATATATACGTATATATTTATATGAACGTACTGTCCCAACATTTCCTCATATTTTCATAGTTTACACAACAGATTGATCTTAGTCAAACTATCACTAAAAACTAGGAGGCACTGGATAGTTGTTTTATCCTAGTTTAGAACTGTTTAACAGTGCACATTCATGAGCCCATCACAGGGGATTTAACTCAAGGTTTATGGTCTAATAAGCAAGCGCTTACATAGAAGCCCGATAATAATTTCTTTACACACTAGTTACTTTATGATTTATCTAAGAGGTATGCGGAATATTGATTACTTTTACTACTAATTGCTATTTTCGTTATTTGGATTACCTGGTATTTTAAAAATAAGCACTATATGTTATTACTACCGATTTTATTGACATAATGAAAAGCACTTGTTTTTCTTTGCGTTGAGATGGTTGTAAACCAAAGTGATTGACTTTATTTCTTGACCGCATACTTTAAATATGAGAGACAGTATTAAACATTTCCGTGATATATGACTGAATAAGTGAGTAAATGACGAAATGCACATTTATAGTGGATGTCATATTACTAGTAAAATTAACATTTAACAACAAACTTGTTCTATAAAACTAATTTTATTGAAAAAGAGAAGTGGATAGACAGTTCAAAAGTCACAGACTATTTAGTTTAGTAACTGTTGGAGATTAAATCAAATCGATTGAATCCGTTTATATTAAGAGTTTAAAGCTAGTACATAACAGTTGTTTAGTTCCATCTAATTTTCACCAGTTTTTAAATGACGTCAATCTGTGATGAAAACTACATGAAAATTGAATAGGTCATTCAAAATCGCTAATGAGAATAATGATTATGCCTTCAGTAATTAATAACTCCAAGGTAAACCCCTAAAGATATTTTAGCTTAATATTTGACTAATGAAATCCAACAATATTAAAATCGAAGCATTCATCTACGACAATAGATAATTGTCAGGCTATACTGTGGAACGACAGAAGTCTAAATGTGGGATATTGGATTTCTAACAAATGGTCTGAAAATAGCATATTTGATGTGAAGTAACAAGATTTTGGGTTTGAACTCATATGTTGGGGTGTTAATACAGTATGCCGAGAAGTCTGAAACTAAACTAAAATAGATGTTCACTTCATTGTAATTTTAAATAGTCATATAGGTTTTATCAATCTGTAATGAAAACTGTTTACAGGAAAGAGAAATCCTATTCTTAATTTTTTTTCTATAATTTTACAGGTTTTTAGATCGAATGATTCAATATACAATAAACGTAATAAATCACAGAACTTCAGGCAAGTCAATAATTTTTACTCTTCGTAAACATTTAAAAATCTACAAAGTGATCTTTAAAGTTGGTTATCATATCCACGATAAACTGAACTGATATTTGGTTATAGTAAAGATCCTTTGAATTATAAGCAGCTTGTATTCATTAAACAGTAGTACCCAAAACCTTCAGATCTTTTAATCCACTCTAAAATTAAGGCCCTCAACTTAGAACTAAATAGTTTACTTTTTTTTAAAATTTTGATGCTTCATCACAAACTTTATTTTCCTGATACCTAAATTCCAAGATTTTTTAATATTGCTGTCTTTTACAAAATAAAATATTCTGCTGAATTCTAAATAATACAAATTAGTTACAAGACGAATGTCTATATAATTTTATAATGATATACAGATGAATTTACTTCCATTTATTAAAAACTTAGATCTAAACTGACTTAAAAAATATGTCAGTATCAATTAAATGTAGAACATGGTGAAAATATAAAACATTAAAAGTCGAACGGATCAATTTAATCTCTGGAAAAGTTTCAAGATATAATAATAATAATAATAATATAATAAACTACTTCATTCTAGAAGAAACAGTATTTAGATTGAGATCATGAACCGATTGATGTTAGACCACTATTGAAAAGCTGGAAGCATTGAATGGCCGCTTCGTCCTATTGTAGGACTTCTCAACAGTGCGCATCCACGATCCCACTCGCAGGATTCGAACCCAGGGCCTTCAGTCTCCCGCGCGAGTGCTCAACATCTAGACCGATGATTCCTTGATTTGAATCTCGCGAGGAGGGATCATGGATGCGCACTGCTGAGAAGTCTCATACTTGAACAAAACAGCCATCCAGTGCTTCCAAGTTTCTCATGATGGTCTAGCTTCAATGGACCTATGAATTCATCTACTAAAATTCACTTGGTATTGTTTTACTTGAATCTTTCCATTGATGTTTAGGACTGCAATTCATCAGTCTCATATTGGCATATATCCCTTCTGTTTTCATTGCCTCGATATTGCCTTAATTTACAAGCATTATAAACAAAGATGGACAGTGGCTGGCAGTGGAATCCAGGACGCACGTTTCGTCCTATTTGGGACTCGTCAGCTAGGTGTACCTAAATCTCAGAGTTGATGTTCATTCTGAGAATCGAACCCAGTACCATTCACTTCAAACGCCATCGCACTAACCACTTAGCTACTGAGTCCTAAACATCAATGAAAAGATTCAAGTAAAACAATACCAAGTGAATTAAACTTCACCCCATTGTACAAGCAAGTGACTATCAGGACTCCATAGCTATGTGGATAACACGATAACGTTTGAAGCGAACATTACTGAGTTCAAGTCACAGAGTAAACATCAACTCTGTGATGCAGGTACATAAAGCTTACGAGTTGCAAATAAGTTGAAACGAACGTCCTGGATTCTACTGCTAACCACTATCCATCTTTACTCATCTATTAAAAGTTTTATTTATTATTTAATACAAGTTAAAATGATAAATAATTCATTTTCAAACTTTATAAAATTTATAATTTTATAAAATAAATATTTTGTTTAAAATAATTTTTATCTTAACATAATTAAAATAAACATATTAGATAATAATGTTAAAATATAGTGAATATTTACTCACTCCTCAATGACCTTGAATGATACTTTAAATGATTCTGACTCATTTAAGATCTGATGTTATTTCATAAGAAATAAATTAAATAAACTATTGGCTAAATCAACATTCTATTTTATACAAATGAATATAAATATAAATGTATTATGGTATAGAACATGATTATTATATTGATATTCTATTGATTGATTGATTGATTGATTTCTTTCATGAAATCAATATATCTATTTCATATAGAAACAATTGCAATCAGAGTAGATCTAATATGTGTATTTAGATCATTTTATAAGGTCAATAAATAATAGTGTTTTTTTCTTCTTTCTATTTATTGATTGATTGGAGTGGGTGTAACTTAGTTTACTTTTTTTGTTATAAAATGAGTCATTTGATTTTCTTAATGAATAAAACAAAGTACGAAGATAGATAATAATTGATTATATTAACAACAAAAAATTTCACAAAAGAATAATTTATAGCTTATGTGAATAATTTTAATAGTTGAAATTCATAAGTTAATTAAAGCTAGGCCACCATAGAAAACTTGAAAGCACTAGATGAACGTTTTGTTATAGTATTGGACTCCTTAGCAGTGTGCATCCACGATCCTGTCTGCAATTTCATGGATTGGTTGAAGTTAGTCATTAACACTGTTGGATGCCGGCTTAGTGGTCTTTAGTTTAAGCGTTCACACATCAGGCTGATAGGTTCTGGGTTTGAATCTCACTGGTGGGACCATGAATGCTCACTGTTGAGGAGTCCCATACAAGGATGGTACGGTTGTCCAGGGCTTCCAGGTTTTCCACAGTTGTCTATCTTTAATTGACTCATGAATTCAACTATTAAAATTACTATAATATCCACGAAATCCCCTTTCTGATAACTATGTGAATAATATTTATGTTATGTTCGGTCTTCGCAGAATGCTGTGCCGGAAAAAAACGCTGATCACTTATACTGGGAACGAGGGATCTCGGCAATTCCCACGATGCGAAAGTAAGAATACAAGACTGTTATAAGTGAAGATTTATTAGCCTCAAAACACTTTGACGATGACGAATCAAAATAGTCTAAAATATACTGGTTTATATATTGATTTTACACCCATTTTTTATTAATAATTAGGATTACATCATATACTCAGTTATAACAAATCACTTACTAAGCATAGTTCATGTCAACTGAATACAAGAATATCGTATATTATACAGAAGAAAATATCATACTGTGAAAACAAATCAAATATTACACTGAATGATCATCACGTTGAATCAAAAATGGATGTAATATTGAATAAAACTCATAATGACTAATTCAATCGAAAATGGACTTTTCTTTCCATCATAACATAATTATACAATAAAAATATACGTTTAGATTGGTTCATACAAGAATCCCAAAATTACCATTGATTATGTTTCTCGGGTCCTAACAGTTTACTAATTCCCATGGCATATAGTATAGCGTGATTAAGAATGAGATTAACGCATTGGATGAAGTCTACACCAGACCAATGATTGATACATTGACTTAATCATAAATATTTCTTCAAGTAACGATTATCGTCAGAGTATTCTAGATTTTAAAAGATAATTTTCAATACATACTGATATTAGCTAGAGAATTATTAAGAAATGAGAGGTAATAGACACCTGCTTTAATGCAATCAGCTAAAATTCCTCAAATGTATAAATTCATCAACTAGCACAAGATAAAACCATTGACCTACATCTATCTCGATATACAGGCTGCATTGAAGCCAGTGATTGGAAACTCAAAGGTTTTTATATTTAGCTTTAGTTATCTTATAACACGATCCCTGTCTAAAATATTATTTCAGAGTTTCTGTCACGTTCCTACTATAAGATGGAACAATTGTCTAATGGTCCTTGATTTTCTCCCATTGATAAAAATTCCCTCCGGATATATGATGCGTAATATCTCTGAAACTGGTTGACGCACGTTGATATCCCAGATGAAGTACTAATTTCCTCAAGATTACAGGTACACTTTTCTGACAACTTCCGGCTAGCATAAAATCTAGGTCCATGATTTACTGTAAACTACTTCCAACCACCTAACATCTCGGCATAGTGAATACGGTGTCAACCCACTTAGACTGGTATTCGGAATGTAACTTCATTGACAGAATTAGATCACCAATTAAAGGATAAGACAATCATGATATTGGCTTCCACTTGGAGATCGATCAGTTGTAGTGAACTACAATATAAGATGATCATGCTATTATCCCTATAAATTCACTACGGTTGAAAAACATTAACAAATGACTTTTAACGCGATGGCATTGTGTTAATTTACTCGGCTAGAAGCCTAAATGCCATGGATTTGGGTTTGTGTCAGATGGCAAGTATATAAAGTTCAGGAATCCTGTAAATGAGATGAAACAATTATTCAGTTTTCCACGGTAATATCAGTTCGTCATACTAGGTTTTCTGAAAAAGAATCTAAAAGAACTACAAATAATATGTAGATTTTAATATATACATATTCAGTTTTGTCTTAAAGAGCTATACGTACATCGATCACATTGTAGGTGTCATTACCAAGGTTTGATTTGATAATTTCGAATAAATTGAGCATTGGGTTGATTGTTATAAATAAAAATAATATATTTGTAATATCCCAATGAGTAGAAAATTGGATTTTCTGACGTTTCGTGGCTTAGTGTAAGTCACTTCTTCAGAGAATAAATAACCAAATTAAAATTAATCCAAGTTTAAATAGTATAACGGAACAATGCAAGAATAATATTTGATCAATCAAAAACAGGTCTGAACAAGTTGATGTCATGTCATTTCTGTCAAAGTGATTCATAAGTGATAAGTATGTAAATTTGTGTGTGTATGTATATGTGCATTGTTTAAGAATGAAAACTTATGTGACCTTTATGGCAAGAAAGGATAGAGTTTAAATTTGTAATATGAAAGTGTGAAATTGTAAATACGATCAGACTGAATGGTTAGGATAGATGGTCCAAGTAGGGTGTATGGTAAGGCCTTCTTTTCTATTGAGAGAAGTAGGATTAAGCATTATGTGGAACGCCTCAGCTACCCTCCTTTCTTTGTAGTTGGAAAAGCCTTTTTGCAATATTTTGATATTTTTAAAATCGATTTGGTGGTTGTTGAAAATGGCATGAACTGCTATTGCCGATTTAATTTGAAGTTGGTTCAATTCTACCGGATTGTTAGGAGGTTTCTTTGTGTACCTAATATGTTCTTTGGCTCTAGTCACGATTTCGCGGGATGACTCTCCAATATAATAGGCATCACAATCGATACAACCTAATTTGTAAACGCAGTTCTGTGTGGACATGAAAGGGATTTTTTCTTTCAGGCGAACTAAAGTATTACGTAGTGTGTTCGTTGTTTTGTAATACACTTTAATTCTGTGGTGTTTTTAAGATTCTTTGAATTTCTTCTGTTGTGCCATGACGGTATGGTAGAACTACAGTACCAATCCATGGCATTTCATTCGAAACATTATTATAATGTAATAAATTGTTTTGTTTTAATATGCTTCTAATAATCTTCATAGGAAAATTATTAAATTGTAAGGTACTAATTATATTCATTTGTTCTTTTCGTTTGTCTTCCTCTGATGTGATGATCTTGTTAGCTCTTCTAAAAAGATTTAAGGCTAGCGAGATCTTAGTTTGGTTATTTATTCTCTGAAGAAGTGACTTACACTAAGCCACGAAACGTCAGAAAATCCAATTTTCTACTCATTGGGATATTACAAATATATTATTTTTATTTATCGATCACATTGTCCAACTAACTATTTTTTCCCCTTCACTTGAAAATGTATGAAATAGGTGAATCATTAGAGTGAAGAAAACTGATAATGATCTAATAATAAGTTCATTTTATTTTGATTAATGAACAATATTTCTTTTGATACCATATACATTCAAATCAATTTTTGGCTTCCAAAAAACAACAGTCGGTGTAGTTGTTATGAACTTCAAATGAATATTTAGATAGATGGCATGAATTACTATGATGATTTGTAGAAAGAAAAAAAACGTTTCATTGAATTTCAAGGAATACTAGCTAATTGGTCTTTAAATCTGTGTTCAATTTCTAATAAATTAGAAAAGATTTCATTGAACTTAAATTGATACACAGTACTTCTTTTTCAATAATTTGCTTCTTTAACAATCAACTAGTTATTTGATGGAATTTTAAGAATCAACATGTTTATTATTTGTTAGTACTTTCATGTAATTTTTGATAAAAGAGGGTAACATGTTTGCATTCTGAAAAGCGTGCTCCTTGACGTTTGTTTAAGTTCTTTCTTCATCTTAAGATCATGATATTATTGCTATAGTTATTCAAAGTATGAAATCTGTGTATGATAATTAAAGATCAAAAGATTCCTAATTGTATTCACTATTTTCTTTTAAATATTACGTAATTTTAATCATCCTTTTCAATCAGTCATTTTACGGTCAGTATTTTAAGATCAAAATTGTTTACTTTCTTAAGAAACTAAAGACTATCTTACAAAGATCAGTAATCTTTCTTATCCCATGTGCTGATAAATGTTATTCAAGTACAGTTATATAATTCTTTTCTTCCAGGATCTTGGTATTAACTCTTTGCCTGTATTTTCATTTGATCTCTACCCACTTTACTACCAGCATGGATCACAGCATGAATATACTATATTAGAGTTGAATAAAATGACAGCATCATTGTTTACTTTTTGAGCTTGATTTCTGTACATTTTTCGGAGTGTTTTGAACAAGAGAACAGAAGATCAGATAAGTGTAATGTCAGAAATGTGAAGTACTTTAAAGAAATTTCGCATACTGAAGGTTTTATGATCTAAGTTTGCAAATATATATAATTTATATTGAGTACTTGACAATGAAACTGACTTATATGTCTCCCTACTACGCATTTCCTTATACATTACATTATTCAAACAATAGCTCAATAAATGACACATGATTTTTTATCAGTACATATAAAAACTTCAAAAAAAAACACATTTATTCTTCTGTCTGAATAATTTCCATGCTAATCACAAAATCTAAGTAACATTTTTACGCTTTACTTAATCTACTTTAAGTAACCAAGACAACTATTGAAAGTAATCTGTAGAAAATAATTCATGTTTGTAAATAGGAAAGGATATTTATGTGTGAGATATGGTAGGAAACATAAATGATAAAAAGTTTGCATATTTATTTAAGTATGAATAAAATCAAAATGCGTTCCCATCATTGTTTTGAATAAAAAGGGGATGGATCGATTTCTGAGTTCAAATGAAAGTTATGTTTATCATTCCTATTGGTACTTAATTAAGTAATTTCTGATAGATTTTAAAATAAATTTCAATCGTGAAATTATTGGAAAGTAAGGATTATCTAATAATCAGAGGGATTTTGTAGAGATTGTAGTAATTTAGTAATTGGATTCATGAGTCAATGGAAGCTAGACCATCATGAAAAACCTGGAAGCATTGGACGGCCGTTCCATTCTAGTATGAGATTCCTCAGCAGTGCGCATCCACGATCCCGCCCCGCGACGTTCAAACCTAGGATCTATCAGTATCGTGCGCGAACGTTTAAACTCAAGACCACTGAGCCGGCATCCAACGGTGTTAATGTTAATCTAATAACTCATTTGACTTCTGATATTGTTATTCATTATTTAGTGTATGTATACGTCCATCTTTCATTATTAAAATGAAAGTTATTTAAATTATAGTTACACATTGATCAAAATGATACTTCCATAAATCAACATTACGAATTTGTATTCTGAGATAACAGTCTGAGAAGCATATACATGAAAAATATTGATCGTTTTTTAATCAGCTGGTAAACTCTAAGTATATACATTATGCAATGCATCATTCATGAAATAAATTGGTTAAGAGCTTACTGTTACTACTGAAATAAGAAATGAATTCCTATTGATTTATATTTCATGAAGAGTTCACTATATACAATTCTTAATGTTAAAGGACGAAGTTAGACATCATCTAGATGCTTTGGAGAAATCTTTCGAATGGCTTCAAAGAATTCATTATTAAAATAACCGAGATTTATTTTGTTTGTAAACTAAGACGACTTGAAGTCTGAAGGTTCATCAGTATTCCTATTATTCAGTGAACAGATGATCATGTATGTTGATAAATTTAATTTATCCAATAGAGTTTTGAAAGTATCATAGAATTTCACATGACACTAAGCAGTTAGCACATGACTCAACAAGCATTTTGTTTTATACACCACATTTTATTCAAATAATTCATTATATCTGTTATAGTTACTCAGTAGAGAAAGCACTCACGATATTTGTTAATTATGTCATAAAATTCCCTCATTCTGTTAGCAAAAAAATTCATTTCTAAATAACGGGTCAATATCAGTAAGATGACCATTGAAAATTCGGAAGCACTGGATAGCTGTCTCGTACTAGCATGGAACATCAGCTCAGTGATCTAGAGATTAATTGTTCTTTACGAGACTGAAAGTTCGGCGTTTGATCCCATTTGGTATGGTTATGGATGCTTACTGA